CCAAAGCATGCTGACATGCATGGCTTCCCCGGGGGAAAGTATGAGGACAATATTCAGAAGGTTGGAATCATGGCTCCCATGGATTTGCCAGATGACCTTCACAGAGTGACTCTCAGTACTGATCTTCTGAACCCCTGTGAATTCTGTAGGGGTCCACAAAGCACTTTGGGAACTGGAACACCCCGTATAGAGGGGGATTACTAATATTCTTGTCACTAGCAATCTCTATCATCCTCATCTTTATATGTACAGGTATTGGCACTTGTCCGGAGGCATCTCTCTGCATTCATCCCTCTCCCCACCCTAACCATCTCTTCTTTTTGCTTCTCTGATCCTGGAATTGAGAGCTATTTTGCACAAGGATGACCATAAAGATAGTTTTTTCCAAAATACCACCAATTCCTTGCAATATACCCAATACGTACATCCATCTCCTAAAGTTAAACATTTTGATAGTACTGGAATGTTTGAAATACTACCATGTCAACATTCTCAAACATTTCCTGAAACTTAACAAATTACAGGACCCTTTACCACTGACCCCAGGAGTTCACTCCCTCTGTTCTCTTCTCCATACCGTTAAATATTCCCCAGATCCTGTTGGATGTTAAATGAAGAGTAGTGATCAGCTCTGACTCTGGATAAGAAAAACTCTGCATTGGATTTATTGAAAAGTGGTTTGCCGATCTCCACACTCTCACCATGGTGAAGGGTTTTCCAAGGAGATGTCAATAGTAGATGATTGCCGAATTTAACCTAACCCCCACACTAGGTGGGCCCTCACAGCTTTCCTGGGATGCATAGCACCAGTGCCTTTCACACACTGTGGGACAAACAGAGTCTCTTTTACAAAGTTGAGACTGATGAGGGTTAGATTTATGACAAGGAAGTGGGTATAAAGCTGATCTACCCTCAGGTCACTGTGCACACAAGAGTAATGACTGGCCTCCAGGTCCTGGTTCTAGGGCCTTCAAGCTGCCCCACCTTAATCTGAATGCTGGAGAAAACGCACATCCTGTCTCACTGGCATGTGAAGACAACGCACATAGGACGAGAGCTCTGGGAACTCCATAGTAGCTAGCAGATACGAGCTTTTAAAAAAGAGCCAAAAGATTCCACTGTGCCTTTAAGAGCGTTTCTAGTGGGAAAGGAATATTTCTCTCTCATAAAACCTTTCTTATAACAATATTTTTCAAGGAACTCAGCTCAGATAGTCCAGGAAGCGCATTATGGTCTACCGTAGCATGCAAATTCACTGCTCAGCACATTATGGGAACATAAATATCATGATCCCCACACTCTGCAGGTTTTCATGTGGCCTCCTTCCTTCCTTCCTTCTCTTCTTCCTTGCCTTTCCTTTTCCTTTTCCTTCTGCTTTCTCCTTCTCTTCTTTCCCTCTTCATTTATATTGTAAGGAAATTATAGCAGCTCATCTCAAATAGAGGAGAGATTTCTTTCTTTCACTTAAAACGAAACAAAACAAAACAACGTCTTCCTTAATGGGCTCAATGTCAAATTCCTCAGAACTTCTGAATGTAACAAAAGAGAATTGTTCTAAGGTACGAAGGTACTTTTTCCACCAGTGACTTAAAAAACTGGAAATAAACGAAAGCCAGGGAAAAGCTGAATAGTCCTCACTTGGCAATTATTCAGCCCTTGGAAATTTCCAAGCCCTCTGCAATCATTAATTAATTAGTGAAGATGATGTTCCACTTTACTGAGGCTGGGAGCGTGACATAAAGAGGTCTAGAGGCTTTCCCCAAGCTGAAAGAGGAATGTCAAGGGAAGAACTGAAATTAGAATTAGAAGCTCATTTCTCAAGCCAGTAGTCACATCACTAAGCCAAGCAGAGTCAATATGGGGACAATAAGGTCCTCTGTGCACAGGTGCAGTTGAATACAGCAGTGTTCTGCTCAAAGACCAAGTGTGGAAAAGCCCACCCCTTCATCCACCAGTGCCCCCACAACACACACAGGAAATTTCTGTAGCTTCATCGCCTCTTTCCCCTTTCCTAAAACACAGACAGATGGCTAAATATCAACCTCCAACCACTCTCCTCTATAATCGCAGCAAAAATCCATGATTTAATTTTCATGATTGAAAGGCACAATATGATGTCAAAAACACATGACACTGTTGAAAATAAATATTTCCAAGAAAATTTTTAATGACATGAAATTCACTGATATCCAGAATCCGTATTAATGTAGACCACCTCGAATAATTACCTTCTCCCATAAGAAGGAAAGGGAAATGTCATGCTTTTGGGGGAGTGGATAATCAAAGTTCACTCCAAGAGCCTGAACAGGTTGCTGAGGGCAGATCAAACATTAGTGATGATGCGGCTCTGCCTGACACCTTAGATCCAGGTCTTGCACTGGGTCCTACACCCATTCCCCCTACACCACTGGATTGGTTCCAAATGTTGAACAGGCACTATCTAGATAGCACCTCATGACATGATAGGTAAATAGGAAACTCGAAGACTGGCTCAGCACTTCTCAGCAGATGATTCCCTCCACCAGATACACTTTTGCTCTATTTCATGTCTGTTTCCCCCGGTGGGGTGATGGGATCCTTAAACAACTCAGGGCCCACCTCTTTCCCTCAGGAACATCAGTCAGGATGCTCTGGGTGAGGAAAAACTGCATGCATAGCTGAACTTAAATGGTGAAGACAACTGTCCCAACCTACACTTTTAATCTTCCATAGGAGAATTTGTTTCAGTTGTACCAAAAGCAAGGGAAAGTTCAATAACCCCATTTTGTTCTGAATGGGTGTTTTCAGGTCCAGGAACGACCACTGCAGACATGTTGTAATGTTAACAAAGGGCAAGCCTATCCAGTGTGGCTATTCTTGACAAACTTTATTTAAAAGCAAAACAATAGGGGCACCTGGGTGGCTCAGTTGATTGAGCGTCCAACTTCCACTCAGGTCATGATCTCGCAGTTCGTGAGTTCGAGTCCCACATTGGGCCGTATGCTGACAGCTCAGAGCCTGGAGCCTGCTTCGGATTCTGTCTCCCTGTCTCTCTGTGTCCCTCCCCTGCTCATGTTCTCTCTCTCGCTCAAAAATAAATAAACATTAATTTTTTTAAAATTAATGCAAAACAAGGGGCACCTGGGTGGCTCAGTCAGTTGAGTGGCTGATTTCAACCCAGGTCATAATATCATGGTTTGTGAGTTTGACCCCCATGTAAGGCTTTGCACTGACAGTACAGAGCCTGCTTGGGATTTTCTGTCTCCCTCTCTCTCTGCCCCTCCACTGCTTGCTCTCTTTCTGTAAAAAATATAAACTTTAAATAATAAAAACAAAACAAAAACAAACAAAACAAAGCACCCTTAATAACATTTATTTTCATGGAGGGAGTTTGAAAAGAAAGGCCTCCCAAGAGTAATATTTCGAACACTTAACATTTTAACTTGGAATCTTTATGTTGCAGAATGACCATGTGTAATGAGCATTCATAAGGTTACCGGGTGCCTCCAGATACTCACAGGCCCCCCTGGGAAGGGTTCTTTTCCTCTAAAGAACCTAAAATTCTTTTGGAGCACCATTAATAGAGCAGATGTTTTCATGTGAGAATCGGTTTAGTAAACATCTTACCGAGAGAGTAAGGATCTGACAGATTTTTGTCATAATGGTGAAAATGTGAACAGGTATATCTGGAAACTGACAATCTTGAATGGGTAAAGGATTATACACACACACAGATACACACATGTGCGTACACACACACATACACACACACACACACACTTCTATAATCCATCTCAACAATTACAATTCAACGTGTAGCTAATCAAGGGCTCTACAGTTTCTTTTTTTTAATGGTTATTTATTTGAGAGAGAGAGAGACAGAGAAAGAATCTTGCATTGTCAGCACAGAGCCCTACATGGGTTTCGATCCCACAAACTGTGAGATCATGACCACAGGCGAAATCAAGAGTCAGACACTTAACTGACTGAGTCACCCAGGTGCCCCAAGGGCTCTCCAGTTTCTGACTTCTCACAGCTCTAACCAAAAGGGTGGGCTCAGTTCCAACCAATAACTGGAGATTAGCTTGGTTTCTCCATTGCCTCCCTTGCAAGTAATTCTCCTTGGATCCTCTTGTCAGGGTGGGAAGAAACATCATCATGTTGGTTCTAGTACTCATGGAAAGTCCAAGTTGTAGGTGAAGAGGTATGTGTAGTATTGTGTCTTAACTATTCACAGGAAGTAACAATGCATTGACTTAAAAGCATATATGCTTGCAATTAAATCAAACCAAAAAAAAAAAGATAACTGTCATAAAGGATTTTTAAAAGTTTCTGAACACAGTTAAGGCCCACAGACTAAGATTCTTCCTGGAGGATCAGTAATGGGGATAAATAAGAGGTAATAAACAAGTTCCATAATACTGCAGCCCCCTTCACCTCACCTACCAGGGGCCCTTGGCCACTTGTTCTGTCTCAGCAGCCCTAGGCTAGTTCGGCCCTAAGCAGAACCCAGAGTGCCAACTTTGCTTGGGTTCTGAGCGTCTTTACATGAGCCTCATGTGGCCCTGTACATCTCTTACCTAAAGATATGGGGACCTCCTGTCCCCACTAAGGTACAAGATGCTGCATATCTATTTAGAGTCCAAGCACATGCAACAGCCAAGCGTGAGGAAGTTTCTGACCCACAGAGGGGCGCTTTGACCAACAGGAGACAAGAGCTGGAAGATAAACTATTTTCCCATCCTCTCCCTGAACAGATTGTCCTGATCTGCTCATACGGTCTTTTGCAAGATGATCCTTCAAGATTGAACAATTGGCTGTACTGGATATTAAACAGTAGCCATATGATCCCACACGTAGGATCTCTGCCTTTTCCTGCTTCACTCACGCTCACCTGGGACTGTACTTTCTAATGACATAAAAGGAGCACATACACTTTTGCCTTAGGGTGTGCTTTCTGGGGAAGTCAGGCCAAGATACACACTCCTTCAGCCCCATCACTATGTTAATGAGTCCCCTACCTTTTGTTGCAGTGGCGGTGCGCAGGGCACTGAAACAGGATCTGTGATATAGGTCTTCTTGGGCCCAGTAACTGGATACATCCCGGCTGGGTTCTGGTTTCCTGTTCCAGAAGGAGTATACCCTTGTTCCCGCTTCCACGTATTCGGATGCCCTTGTTGACCGTAAGCTGGATCAGAGTCATTTTTGCCCCCGTAGCCAGGCCCTGATGGGCAATAGCCTTCATAATAGCGTCCTTGGTTGGGGGCATACCCATACCCAGGCTCCGGTTGAAGTCCTGGTGGTGGAATATATGCATAGTCCATGCCCCCCCGTGTTGAAGGAGGTGGGCACTGCCCAGAGATAGAAACTGGTTGAGTGTTATAGCCCTGGGGTCCTGCGCCTGCGCCATAAAATTGTCCTGATGAAGGAGCAGCCATGTAATGAGAGCTGGGCTGGGCTGACTTCACCTGCACGTTGAAGGCAGGCCTTGAAGGGGTGGACGCCGTAGCATAGGAGGCGGGGACTGGTTGAGGCTGGGGTTTTAGTGTTCCAATTGGTGCCACAGGGATGGGTCCTGCCTGGGGTGCAGGCTGTGGTTTCAATGTAGACTTTTTGGTTGCCGTTAGAGGGGGTTGGTTTGGTATTACCATTCTTTTATGTCCTGTGACAGGGGTAGAGACTGGAGGAGAGGCAGTCGAACTAGTAGAGCCCTAAAGGGGGAAAGAGAAAAAAAAAAAAAAAAAAGATAAGGATTACTGCCAGTGAAAAATGAAAACACATAAAGGAACAAATATTAGTAACTACTATTCTTATTTTGTATCAACTCTTATATGGTTCCTGCCTTCTAAGAATTCACAAACCAACACAAAAATCATGTGCACTTTTGTGTACTAGCAATGAACAATCTGGAAAAAAAATTAATGATTCCATTTACAATTACATCAAAAGGAAACAAAAATACTTAAGAATAAACTTAACCAAAAAGGGCAAAAGACTTACATACACTAAAACGTACAAATGCTGCTGCTGAAAAAAATTGAAGGCATAAATATATATAAGACATCCTGTGTTCATGGATTGGAAGACTTAATATTGTAAAGATGTTAATACTGCTCAGAGCAATCTATAGATTCAATCCAATCCCTATCCAAATTTCAATGGCAATTTTTTTTTCCAAAAAGGAAAAAATTCAGCCTGAAATTCATATCAAATCTCAAGAGATCTGGATAGCCAAACAATCTTGAAAAAAAAAAAAAAAGAACAAAATTGTAGGTCTCACACTGTGCAATTTCAAAACTTAGCACAAAGTTACCATAATCTGCAGGGTATGATAGTAGCATAAAGACAGACATATAGACCAACAGAATAGTACAGAGAGTCCAGAAATAAACTCTTGCATACATACACAATTAATTTCTGATGAGAGTTCCAAGACCATTGGTTTGAGAAAAGACACACTTTTCAACAACTGGTGAGGAAAACTGGATATCCACAGGTAGAAGAATGAAGTTGGACCCTTACTTACACCATATATAAAAAGTAACCCAAGTTTTTAGCTCTAAATGTAAGAGCTTAAAACTTAAAACTCTTAGAAGAAAACACAGGCGGAAAAAAAATAGCAACTTCTTGACATTGGATTTGTTAATATATATGATATATATATACATATATAATATATACATATAATATATATTATATATAATATATAAATAATATATAATATATATAATATATAATATATGCATAATACTGAAAGCACTAGCAATAATAAACTAAGCTAAACAATGCTATCTCAATCAGATCAGATTACCAAAGATATAGTCAACATACAGCAAAAAGGAGGTACTAGAGAAAGAACAGGAGGACTGGGCAAGGGTACGAAAAAAAAACAAGTAAATCAAAGAGGGGTCTTGAAAGAAACAAACACTCCCAGAAGAACCAAAAAGATGCTAAATTTTAGAACAAAGATTCCTATCAAAGAGTGATTTACCAAAGATAACCCAAATGTAGACTCTTCCTCCTTTTCTAACTTCCTGATTTCCATTGCATTCATTCATTCAATTCAGAAATACTTACTGAATATCTTAAGAATGTTTAAGGACACACAGATTGGAAGATCTCACTGCCAAACTATGAGAAGTCTTGGTTAGGCTGGGGATAAGTAAAGGCTCAGAGAAAGCTTGGAGATTCAAACATCTGTCCTCAGGCATTAGTCTATTATGGATCTGGAAATATGTCAATGACAGAATGTTTTAATTTTGCTCTGAGTTACTATGATTAGATTTGTTGATACAACAAATGAATGACCACACCCTGATTTTGCTGTTTATTAATTTCCAAGATAATTCACATATTCTTAGGAAGAGGGGATGTGAGGCCTTATGTTACTCTAATGTCATTTACCCACACCAAGTCACTAGAGATATATAGCTGTGGGAAAGATGCCGCTAACTGCTTCTTCATACCTACTCCCCTTCTTCACTACTCAAAGAATTTCTATTTTATTTAGGCTGACAATGTCCTCACTTAAAATACTTCTCTAGACTACAACCAGAGATAGAACGTTGCCACGGGACACAGTTCTGGCCAATGAGATATATGCTAAACATTTTAGGGAAAACAAAAATTCTCCTGATAGAAGCATCACCCCTACCTACCTTGCCCGTTTCTTCTTTCCTGCCTGGTTGGTGGATGTGGGGCTGTAGATGGTACAGCTATCTTGCCCCCACCATAAGATGCAAGTCTATCAACTCAAATATATATAGCTTTCTGATGATCTACACTGATCCAGAGATAAAGATTAAAACACTCCCAGAGATATTTGGTTGACATACAGTAATTCTCAATGGAGAGAAAATCACCTCCTGATCAGGGACGTTTGGTAATGAGTGGGGATAATCTTATTGTCACAGTGACTAGGGGATGTTATCATCATTGCATGGGCAGAAAGCAAAACACATCACTGTCAAACCCAAGATGGCAACAGCATCCCAATGAAAGTGACAGACTCTTGGGCTACATTTCTTCTGTCAACCTACCTGTGAAGTTCCCAGATGTGAGCCAAGGAGGCCACAGGTCCTCTCTCTAGCATCTCTCCTCTACAACACTCTCTACTTCTGGATCCAAATAACCCTTCTCCCCTTGGTCCCTTTGATCCTAGAGCACATGAAAGCTCTGACTCTGCTGGCTCCAGATGATCGCTCTGTCCCTAAACACTTCTCTATACCCAAATGCCTGTGTACGCGATGCATTTATAAATCAGCGTGTTATCATTTTTGTTGGGATTCTGACAGTTACAGCTCTCTTTCCCACATTTTATTGGTCTCAATTTATATTTGTCTTTTTCCCTGAAGAATTCATAATTCTAGATTTAGTTCTTTAAGTTACCGGAGGCTGTTAAATACAGTTATCTTTTTTTTCCCCCTTATCTGATACTAGCCTCTCAGAGGACAAACTTGCCATTTACTTTTGTAATTGAAGCAACCTTAGTAATCTTGTCTTGGCAGAGTAGCTTTTCCCTTCTTTATGAAGATGGCTCCAACAGTACTCAAGAGAAAGAAATTCCATTTCCTCAGTAAGCAATGTATTAAGAAATACATCCTGAAGAAATTCCTAAATACACACACAGTTAATTAAGATCCTGACATTCTGTAGTAAAAAGCATGGGAGAGTCAGTTTGAACCTAAAAAAAAAAAAAAAAAAAAAAAGGTAAGGTCAGTTTTTTTTCCCAGTCAACCATGTCAGTCTTAAAAAAAATGTCAGCATAGATGGAATTGAATGTAAGAAGGAATAAAGCTTTTCTTTTCTTTGATGACTCAAGATCAGCAGAAACCCAGAGTTCCTATTTTGAACACTTTACAAACCCAACTATAAATGGAGACAGTGACTGAGCAACTGGGCTAATGACAGGCGTACTCTGTGCTGCAGCTGTAGAGAAGTCTGTCCCCAGAGCAGATCCTGCAGAAATCACAGATTTTGGAAATGAAAGCCAATCACAATGATAAAGTAAGAATAAAAAAGAATTAATATAGACCTAACTCCTGAGAAGCAACATTTTCCAACAAAATTCCTCTTTTTCTTTTTTGGTGAACACACACACACACACACACACACACACACACACACACACACACACACTTTAAACCTCCGTAAAGTCTTTGAAGGAAGGCATCAGGTCACAGTTTCAGAAGTCATTGCTTTCTTCTAGGAAATATCTCACCAGTGGAACTCTCTTTGGGGGATGAGAAGGTTTCCCACAACTTTATTATGAATTCTGCTGTGTATGTGCCGGCATGCTTCTGATTATTTTCTATATCGTAACTACGGGAGTGAAAATAGCACATTTAGCTATATTTTTCCCTTTGCAATTTTACACTCTTTACCTCACTGGAGGTGGAAGGGGTAAAGAACAGGAATCATTTTAAAGCGTATTTATTTATGTTCTTCATAGTTAAAGAAAGCTATGGCAACATTTTCCTGGCCCACATATTCAATTAAATACATAGTGAATCTTTTCTACTCACTGAATTAGTTGGCACTTCCGAGTATTTATTTTTGGCATATCATTTCTTTTTTGTTTTTGCAGAAATTCTTAAAGTTTTATCATGATTTAACATTTTTATTTTGAAAATCAAGCACATTTTAAAATTACAGGGATATATATATAATATATACATATATATTACATATACATGTATATATATAATATATAATATGTATTTGTAATATATATATTATATGACTTGAATCTCTGTAAGTCTTTTTATGTGGTTATTTTTCCATTAATTATTTTCTAACCATCATGTAAAGCTCTGTGAGGTTAATGGGAGAAGGGCAACATCCTGGGATGAACAGCACATGTCCCCCGTCCGCCAGGAGTTTATAGTCTGGTAGAGGGGCTACTATATAATCAACAACTGGTGGATGGATACTCCATTACCAGGAAGAACTGGTCGTGGCCACAGGACAACAACAGACAAGGGGTACCGAGAGCACCTCTCGTTCTCACCCCATGGGGCAGGTCCTCAACTTCCTTTGTGGCCAGGTCAGGATAAGGTCCGGCCATTCCTCAATCTCTCCTGCCCCTCCCACCCGCTCCCCGACCACACTCACACGAGCGCACACACACTCCCCTGCTCCAACCTACCACTATGTCTTCTATGCATCCTCCGTTTCTTTCTTATATCCTTACATTTAACTCCAGTCTCGTTTTCCTTCCGCTGCTGTTTGCCCTCATCGCCACTTCCCTAAGCTGTTCATTGCCATCAGCGAACTTCACTTCTTTCTCACGCCCCTCCCTCAACAACGCCACAGTCATCTCTCTAACGTGACCCTCTGAGCCTGGTTCTCTGCTGATTGCAATCTGCCAATGGCCCTGCTTTGTGTTGAGCTTGTTTTATTATGTTGTGCTCTTTGTTTGTTTGTTTGTTTTTAATATACTTTAAAATAATTTCCAGTCTAGCCCCTGCCTCCCTGGCCAGCTGCTTCCTTTTTTCTACCATCACTCACATCACACACTCCAGCAATTTGAGGCTTATGCAGAGACTGGAATAGATCACACAGTTATGTCTGCACTCAGATCCGTCAGCCAGGACCTCCTTCTACAGTCTCTGATCTGTTCTATCCAATCTCTACCGCGCTGCTCCCCTGCTGCTCAAACATAGCCATCTGGGCAGTTGCCTACTTATTCTGCAAGTCTCAGATCAAATGA